TCCCTTAACAAAAGTATAAGACAAAATATGATTTTACTGACAAAAATAAAGAAAGAATAATAAGACAAAATTTGGATATGGTATCCAAAAAAGTCAAGTGATATAGTTCCTAATATATAAATATGGAAGTAAAAAAAATAATGATAAAAAAAAGAAAAACATCTTTGTACTTGAACTGTAAACAATGCAAATTTCAATGTCAGAATAACTAATAAGTTGCAAAACTTCTAAGAAACAATGGTAATACTACATGTATATGCAAACAACAGTTTGTGCTTTTATGGTCTATGTTCATTTGGATTTGTCCTTGTAGTGTTAGGTGGTTGACAGTGACTGTGTGTGAGTATGACTCGTGAGTGTGAGTATGAATGTAAGTGTGAGTGTACACATGAGTACGTGCTTGCATGGAAGCTTAGTGTTTTACACATAAATTATTCATACAAAATTGGTAAACATATCTTTCAAACAAATGGCAGTCTACAGCTTTGTTTTAAATAGCACATAACCAATATCTATATAATATCTTCTAGGTATGAAAGCAGATTCAAACTGCAATAATCCAATCCTATTCATAAGGTACATCCATCCTACCTCATAGGATATAATAAAGGCAAGAGGAAGTAAATATTGAACAAATATTCAATAACTGCAATTGCCATTTGGTGCCTTTCCCCAAATCTTTCCAATTCACTTTCCGATAATAAGAAAAAAATCCTTTATGTCTTCCTTTAAGTGATACTGCCAAGGTGTAACAAGTTCCTGTAGAGCATCCAATATTTAAATGCTGACAGAGAGCTTTTCAACAAGAAGATGATTATGGTCCCTCTTAGGTTCTGGCACCTACTGCTGCTTAGTTTGAGGCTATAGTTTGAGGCTAGGTTTTATTATGGTAGTTTATAAGAAAAATATCATCTTAATTTATTTTGTGCCTTAAGAGGGAGGTATCTTAGAACTTATGGATAGGGCTTGGTGTCAAAAATAAAAGAGAAAAAAAGTCATACTCACAAAACAGAATTATTTGTGCAATGCTCCCAAAGGACTCATGTGTGTGATCTTGCCTTACTCTGAGTCTTTGTTAAACATTACAATTGACTGTAATCAAATGGCTACATTATGAGGTCAATGAACAATGTATTCATATTAAATAAAATGAAAATAGAGATGAAAAAATAATTTTTCAGGAGCACTATGGAATCAAGGCAAATGCACCTCCATACCAAAATATCTATTTTCTAACTTACACTAACTAGACTAGATGTCTTTTAAATGTAGGGAAAACTTCCCTTATTTTTTTATTCTCTTTGTAATCACGTAGAAAAGGTAAGCTATAAAGCAGCATGTGAAGAAGTACCAATAATATAATAAATGAAAGACACCACAGATAAATTACTTATGAAAATCATTCTGTACATGAAAGGTGACCCCTCTTGCGGGCCAATTTTTTCCCTTTATATTTTTTAGAAAACTAGCTATACACTGTACATAAGCAGTTGTCTGGGTAAGCAGCACAAAGTTGCCCTTAAGCTTAAAACACAGGCTTGTAGCAGCAGCGGCAGGAGACATTTCCTTTATGCACAGACTGGCTACTGTCAACACTGGTTTACAGGGCAGCGCACCTAACAAAATTTTACTGCTTAGTGAAGTCCAGGACGAATGCATCACTTACGGCTAACAATGTCTTTCATTAGAATACAATAAATGCATTGATGTGTTTTCAATGTTGAGTCTAAATCTCAGACCAGTAATATGCATTACTTCAATTCACACTTTTTTTGTGATAGCACTAATGACCATTTCAGCTGCTTTTGCCATCTGATGCTTTTGGAGTACTAAATCCTTATACTTGCTAATAGGTTCAGCTTTCCTAAGGTGAAGCCGATGCTTACAAAAAGTGTTATATGAATATAATGTGCACTTGTTCAACACTTGGTAACACACTTCTTGAACAGAACAGAACTTCTTCAAGGCATTTCACGTTATTTTGACAGAGCGCAAGATCTTTGAACAGACCTAACTGGCAGTCCAAACAACTCAAACTGGAGGGATCTCTGTTGCCTGTGGTGCATCTTCCATCCCTTCTGGAGGGACTCTGACTGTACCATTGCCTGTTAACGTTGCATGTCCATTGGAGGGCACTTGGCCGTTCGCACACGTACTAGGGGGTGTGCTGATGGCAGGGAGAGTTGGAGCTGAAGGCGTCTGGGGTGGAGAGGTCAGAGGGACAGGTGAGGGGGCACTGGGCATTGCAGGTGCCGCAGTCACTGTTGTGATGGGGGGCATGGTGATCACAGGGTCATGGAGCCCTGCCATGTCATTGCTGCTTCCACTGTGGCTTCCTTCACTGGCTGTGTAGGATTCCATTGCCCGGTAGATGAACAGGAGGTCATCCTGTTACGGCAAAAAAAAGAATGTGAAAACCTGCATGAGGTACTTTTACAAAACATATGGCACTGTGTCAAGAAACTGAAGATACTTTTATCTTTATGAGTTTGTCACTTACATTTATTACAAAACTAGAATATATGAAAGTCAGCACATGTTTATAACCATTGTATTCAAATAATCTTCATTAACAACACTATGGAACACTTTAACCCTCCCCCCTCAGAAAAAGAACATCCATTACTTACTTTCTAAACAACAATTAATTCCCAAACTACACACTAATTATATATATATAAAAGAAAAGAAAAGAAAAACTCTAATAACTTACCTGACTTGTCCAAATACTTGGCCTTCTGTTGTGGTAAAGCTTGGCAAACATGTAAGGGTCCAAGTGCTGCTCGAAGTCAACCTGGTTCTTCAGGGCAGTTAAGCAGCAGAATGTGGCTCCCTCCGTCCCTCCAAACCTGTAAGGAAGGGACCAAAAGGTGCTCAGACTCCAAAGGTGTCAGAAAATACGGGATGACTTCATGACTGACACAAGTAAGAAAAGGAAGGTGGTGATGATGAAAATGGTAGAAATGGAGGGGGAGGAGGAGGCAGAGGAGACAAAGGAGGAGGAGGAGGAGGAGGAAGCAGAGGAGTAGGAGGAAGAGGAAGAGGAGGCAGAGGAGGAGGAGGAAGAGGAAGAGGAGGCAGAGGAGGAGGAGGAAGAGGAAAAGGAAGAGTAGGAAGAGGAAAAGGAAGAGTAGGAATAGGAGGAGGAGGAGTAGGAGAAAGTGGAAGAGAAGGAGAAGGAGGAGGATGTGGAAGAGGAGCAGGAAGAAAAGAAGGAAGAAGAGGAGAAGGAGGAGGAAGAGGATAAGAGGTAGAAGAAGTAGGAGGAGGAGTGGAAGGAAGAGGAAGAGGAAGAAGAAGAGGTAGAAAAAGTAGGAGGAGGAGGAGGGGACTCTTCAATACTCACCGATCAACAACTATTAAAGGTCCATTCTGGTAATTAGTATGGGCCTCAGACACTAAGGAGACAAGGCTGAGAGTAGTAGTAAGAGCTGGCAGAGTGTGGGGCCAGCCAGGAGCGTGAATTAATCTAACCGGTAACTCATAGTCATCTTGCAAACTCTGGACTGCAACATCAACAGTCACCAACCCAGCATTCAATTTCTCTTCCAGATAACGCACCTATGGAAAAAATCAAGATTTAATACATGTAAATCTGCTTCAAAGTAGAGTGCATATCCAAGTGAAATTACCCCATATCTAAAAGTCAGAAATTTAATTACTATTTCTTCTAATTTTTGTTTTCTTTCTTTCCAAAAGTACCAAACCCTACCTTCCAATGCTCAGAGTCAAAGTCATCATGCTGCGCCGGCCAGAACTGGGGATAGCCCTGACTCTCGTCTACAGCTGTCAAAACAACTATTGTCTGGGCATTGTGATCCCAAACCATCTGCCAGAAATCAAGGATGGAGGGTGGCAGAGGGTGCTGTGTCAGGATGAATTCTCGTAGTCTCTGATGGCCCATCAGCCAGGTTGCATTGATGTAGTCTGAGCCTTCCACACCTGGCTTGGGGGTCAGGTGCACACGGCCATTCTCCATGGGCAGGTGGTCTGTGCTGCGGTTCTTCTCTCTATTGACAGGCTTGACTGCACTGACAACATTGAAATCTCTTGGCTGGAAATGTGTAACCAGCTGAAAAACAGAGGAAGGTCATTAAAATCATAAGATAATTCAACATACAGAATTTTTTTATCAATTTCTTATGCTCCATGTAATACTGTATGTTCAAATATATCTTTAGTTTTCATACTAAAGTTATTGAAATAAATACTTTGAAAACTAAAAGCTTCGTATCAGCTCTTATCTAAAAAATATTAACAAAAGTCAGCAATTACTGATATCCATGCAGTGGAGGCTCATCTAAATCATTCCATCCAGTAACACTGCCAACTGAACCACATACCTTGAACTGGTGCGATAGAAGATACCAAGGCTGGGGCTTCTCCTGTGATCCTCCCGGCGCCTGCAACATCCTGATATATCTGCTGAGACCAGCCCGAGGGATGTTGGTGTCTCCACTTTGGATGGCTTCCAGCAGAGCATCGTGAATGAATATATACTGCTCCTCCGTCTGGGGATGAAAATAATTTCCATATTAAAAAAGTACAAGTATCTGAGAAATACCAAAATCCCATTAGGAAAGCCATCACTCCATCACTTCAAGCATACAGAACCAATGCTGAAAAAAGGTATTTTCTTGAGCCACGAACCTGTACAAGGAAGTTGCGTTGTGTGCGAATGTGTTTCAGGAATCCCCATATATTGAGGCGTCCCTTGGCACGAATCTGCTGCAACATGGCATCCAAGACAATGTATGTGCCAGTCCTTCCCACTCCAGCACTGAAAAATGAAAAGAAAAAATTATAATATGTTCAGCACCAATACCCAGCAGTACCACACAGCTCCACATATAGGAGGATTTTTTTTTTTTTTTTTTAATAAAGAAAAAAAACAGAGATTGAAGGAAGGAGAGGAGAAGGAGAGAGAGAAACAGAGAGAGAGAGAGAGAGAGAGAGGGAGAGAGAGAGAGAGAGAGAGAGGAGAGAGAGAGAGAGAGAGAGAGAGAGAGAGAGAGAGAGAGAGAGAGAGAGAGAGAGAGAGAGAGAGAGAGAGAGAGAGAGAGAGAGAGAGAGAGAGGAGAGAGAGAGAGAGAGAGAGAGAGAGAGAGAGGAGAGGGAGAGAGAGAGAGAGAGAGGAGAGAGAGAGAGAGAGAGGGAGAGGGAGAGAGAGAGAGAGAGAGAGAGAGAGAGAGAGAGGGAGAGAGAGAGAGAGAGAGAGAGAGAGAGGGAGAGAGAGAGAGAGGAGAGAGAGGGGAGAGAGGGAAGAGAGGGGAGAGAGAGAGAGAGAGGGAAGAGAGAGAGAGAGAGAGAGAGAGAGAGAGGGAGAGAGAGAGAGAGAGAGAGAGAGAGAGAGAGAGAGAGAGAGAGAGAGAGAGAGAGAGAGAGAGAAGAGAGAGAGAGAGAGAGAGAGAGAGAGAGAGAGAGAGAGGAGAGAGAGAGAGAGAGGAAGAGAGAGAGAGAGAGAGAGAGAGAGAGAGAGAGAAAGAAGAGAGAGAGAGGAGAGAGGGGGAGAGGGGGGAGAGAGAGGGAGAGAGGGAGAGAGGAGAGGGAGAGAGAGAGAGAGGGGGAGAGAGAGGAGAGAGGGGAGAGGGGGAGAGGAGAGAGAGAGAGGGGGAGAGAGAGAAGAGAGTCAAAGTCAAAGGCAAAACACTTTATTCCATTAATTACAATGGTTATTCTTTACATAAATACATTTGTATTTACAACTGATTATTTAGTAGGTGTTTTTTTAAATTTTGTTTTGAAGCTGTTAATGACTCTTATATTATCTGGTAACATGTTCCATAACTTGGGCCCACATATTTCCATATGCCGTACCCCTGTATCAGTACTTGATCTATTAACATAAAGAGAATTTACTTTAGACTTGATGCGGTCCCTACAGTTTACAAGGGCATTAACATGTGGATAAATCCCATGAATGAACTTGTTAATGAATACATGTGTGCTATAACTGCATTTAGGTTGGACTTTTAACCATTTTCATTTTTGGATATGGGGGGGGGGGTGATCTGTTTACTGATATTACCTAATGTAACTCATCATGCAGCAGTTTTGTAATTATTGTACTTTTTGCATTTCGGTTTTGTTAGTCGAACCCCAAATATATGAACAATAGTTAATAATGCTTTGAACTAGAGTTTGCACAACCATAATTCTCGTTTCAGTAGTGATTTGATTTTTTATGTGATTAAGATATACCAGATGTGTTGTTCAAGTGTACTCCTAGAATATACCATGGTGCCCACTACTTTCCTGTGTATTTTGTCAATAGTGATTTGATTTTTTATGTGATTAAGATATACCAGATGTGTTGTTCAAGTGTACTCCTAGAATATTCACTGAAGTGTTTGGCTTGATAGAGCAGCTTTCAAATTCTATGGTTGTGTCAGGAACTTTAGCTATGTTCTGTTGGCTACCTATGAATATAGATTGAATTTTATGTGGATTTAGTTTAAGACCATTAGGGTCAAAATATATTTTTGCTTGTGTAAGGGTATGTTGAGTGTTTCTTATTAATGCACTCAAGTTGTTTACTGAGTCACTATGAAGAAACTGTGAATCATCGGCTTACTGCACTAGAAGGCAATTATGGGCTATTTTTGATAAATCATTTATAGGATTGGACCTAAAATAGATCATTGCAGAACACCAAAAGGTGTTGATGGCATACAATCATTGATTCTTACCAATTGGGTCCTTGAATCTAAATAACTTTTAATAACCCAAAAGTATCAATTTTATGATTTACGAATTTGTTAAGGAGAATTTCATGGTTGACACTATAAAAAGCCTTAGAAAGGTTGCATAATGTGAGGAAATTTACTTGATTATTGTCCATGTTATTATAAATCTCGTCAGTAACTCATAGTAAAGGTGTTTCAGTAGATAACTCATTTCTGAAACCATGTTGCCTTTTAGATAATAAGTTATTTGCAACAATTTTTTCAAGAACTTTAGGTAATATAGAGAACGTTATTGGCCTCCAGGAAACTCATTAGTTGATTTACAACAATTCTTTCAAGAACTTTAGGTAATATAGAGAGTATAGTAATTGGGTGATAATTATTCACATTATCTATATCCCCCGACTTAAAAATGGGTGTTACTATACCATGTTTCCAAAGCAACTGTGTTTTATTACTATGATGATTATTTCTATGTCCACTGGTTGTGGTCTGAAAGAATTAGTTGTAAAGCTTGCCCGATCTGTGTTTCATTGTAATGTAGAAGCAGTTGTTTGTTCATAAGTTTGTTTTCCAAGAGAGGGAGGGAGAGGGAGGGAGGGAGAGGGAGTAAGGGAAGGAGGGAGAGGGTGGAGAGGGGAGAGGGGAAGGAGGAGAGGAGGGGGAGGAGAGAGAGATAGAAGACATACAGGTAGAGAGAATGAAGAAAGATGAGGAGGAAATTATGATAAAATTTGGGAACAAGAAACAGACAAAAGAAGACACAAAAAAATAACAATAAAATGTGGGAACGAGAAACAGACAAAAGAAGACACAAAAAAATAACAATCAAAATGAAGTGCATAAAAAAATATTACATTCTGTAAGCACCTGTTGCCAGCTTCAAAATGAATGAATAAAACACATTAACTAAAAGCAGGTAAAAATATTCTCCCTGCTGCACACATTTCCCTAGGTAGTTTATAATATTTAAAGCTGATTACTTATCTCTCATTTCGATAACAAGAACCATTTTCCTTAGCTAATATTAAACATATGGTTCAAATTTTATATTTTCCCATATCCCAAGGGTTACTGATTGCAATGAGAAAATCTAAAAGTTACTTTTGCAATATCTGCCTTGTTGCATATATAACTCAAAATCTTTAAGTTTTTTATGGTTATTGATATACTGCAAAGTGTAATATCTCTAAATTAACAAAAACAAAAAAGAAAAATCCCTTCAGTTTGTCTTTATTTCAGACAAAAATATTTCTACTTCATATTAATAATAATGTTCATAATAGTAATAATAATAATAATAACAATAAAAAGAGTGCACCCATTCAAAAACTAAACTTTCATGTAATGTAACTTCAAACATCATTCATTTTCTGGTTTTGATGTCATAACTGTTACAAAAGCCTTAAATTAACTAGTAGTTATTATATTATGCAAAGCTAACTCTAGAATCAGGCTGACTTTACAGTGTGTGCAAAGCAGGCATCCATCTTCAAATATCTGTCACCCATTACACTCAAAGTCTATCAAATAATATATGAATAATATATTTCCATAAATTTTTCATTAAATCCACATCTACTGAATTTTGCAAAACACAACAAAAAATATTGATGCCACTATGTATGCAAGAAATATAAGTTTATGTAGTATAAAGCATTACCTTTCTTCTAAACTGTTACCTCTAACAGCTATTTCATAGAGAAAAAATCCTAGTTTTAATCTATCTATTTCTGCAATGATTAGAGAGCCACTTTACCTTGTAATATGTAATGTTTGCAATGAATATATAAGGGCATATGCATCCCAAGGTATTCTCAATCTAATTGTCTCCCAGAAAGTTTAATAAATGTTTTCTTTCACCTTTCATCTGTAACATAAGCATTAATACATTCATGTTCATATATTACAATCATGATATTATTGTGTATTGATGTGAACATATAGAGGCTTTAGTTATACATGAAGTTTAAACTTGGAAAACATTTAATGAACCTTTGGATGCACATGTCATCATATACATTATTACACTGAAAGAGGTTGGAGGAAAGAGATCTGCAAGGAGTAAGCAGTATCTGTCCTAAACTATATTCTGGAGAGATGACAATATTACTGTAGATTCTACTCCTACATGAAAAAAGGGTCCATAGCATAGCATGGGATTTTGTGTTATAAATATTGGGGCCATGCTCTGTTCATCTACTCATAAGAAACTCAATCAATAACTTTATTTTTACATTCACCTTTTCATTTCTGTCTATATAATCATTATAGTGGTAAGTTCTTTGTTTCTAAATCTGATCAATCTATGCCTCCAAGTTGGCTAAAAGGCCAAAAGGTTTAAACTTCTGAGTGCATGTAAACATGGCAGTGCATGCCAACCCAAGCAAATGGTAAGCTACTTTTCAAGACAAATAAGCATCGATAATGTCCGGATTTGTGGTTTTGGTACAGACAGGAATGATATAATAAGTCACCAGTGCTATTTTTCAGCCAAAATTACCAGAAAAACATTCGGCAACCATGGTGCAAAGTCTGCATGGTAAAAAGACTATAACTCTGATTGGACTGAGATAATGTGTTACTTGCCATATTTGTCATCAGTGAGATGGAATTCTCAGCTTGGCAAGACATGCATGCCCTCCACAGATAACAAATTAATCTTCTTATTACAGTTACCATCAGAACACTTTACTTCCATATTCAAAATCTATTTATATATTTGTATAATTAATAATCAATGAATGGATTATATGAACACAAAAATTTGCTATTAAAACCAAAGTCCCATGACAAAAGTGAAGCCAAGAAGACATGGTTTTGCCACATCTGGATTTCCATATTACCCAATATTCTTTTAGTCTGCCACAGAAATGAAAGCATATCCCAAAAAACATGAGTCAGAATACAACAGAAAACAATACAATATTATTGGACTGTTAGTATTAACTCCTAATAAGACATACCTGCAGTGGACTATAATGGGTCCAGCATCCTCTGGATTTGCTGCAGCAGACTTTCGGACAAAGGAGAGTACAGGCAGTGGGTGGTCAGGAGTGCCGTGATCTGGCCAGTTGGTGTAGTGGTATTGGTAGACTATGCGCTCTCCACTGCCAGATTTCTTACATTTCACCTGAACAGATTAGCAATTATCCTGATAAGTCTAACAATTCCTCATTAACTAAAATTTTATGTTAAGTATACAAATGTAGCATAAAGGACATTTGAACATAGGTAACAGTGTTCTTTTAAATGTTTCTTTGATAAGTTTGAAAGAACATGTTAAATGAGAACTATTTACACTTAGTATGAAAGAATACATTGAAAGATGAAAAAATTAGTAACAATAATAATGAGAATAAATCCTGCAACAACCAAGAGAACAATAATCACAATTAATAATACTTACTCTTAAAATATTTACCTTTAAGTCTGTAATAGCAACTTTTCTGACACCAAGAACAATAATGAAAATCCAAATTCTTACCTTCATGTGTCTAATAGCTAATTTTCTGATGGTGTAAGTTGCCAGAACTTCTTCATGAACGAGACGCACTTGAATCAGGCCGTAAATTTCATTTCCTTCCTTGGGCCAGTACTGGTCGCACTTTTTCTGCAATATCGAGGGAAAGACATTGAGTACAGTTGCAAAATGGGGCAAGAAGTTTTGTCTTGTGGTTGGCTGCTCTTGTAAATGATGTATTTATTTAGAAATATTTATGATGTCAAACATACAAAGACACATTTTTTTTCTTTTGAAAATCCAGACACTATTACTAGCTAACCCATTTGCCTTCAGCATCAAGAGGGGAAAGACAATCTATATATGAGGTTAACAAACAAGGAACCATTTCTTTTAACATGCAACATTTAATATAACCATCCACAAGGGCAAAACTCCTACAAAATAGAGAAATGTTTTCGTTTTGGAAGCCTAGGCCGAAACCCAGACGTCAGAGTCACTCGCTAGATCTACAGCACAACTAAAAAATACTAAAAGGCTAGTTTTTCGTGTCAACCCCACTTGGCCACAGCTTCATGGAGCTTTCTGTCTGCCGGTCTCATCACTAACAAAATGGATACACAGTGTTTTAAGAAAATAGGCTAAAGCCATTAGTGTTGAGGACTACTAGAATTAAGGTATTCTTTCTATTTTTCAGACATCTTAAGTATTTAAAATGGACATTCATGGTGATCATACTTACTCCATGAATATAATTTAGTATATTCAACAGTGAAGAGGCTTTCATAATGAAAGTAAAACTTACTACAACATTTAACTTGTTTGTGTGAAAATAATCATACATATATATCTGTGTGTGCGTGTGGTGTGTGTGGTGTGTGTGTGTGTGTGCGTGTGTGTGCGTGTGTGTGTGTGTGTGTGTGTGTGTGTGTGTGTGTGTGTGTGTGTGTGTGTGTGTGTGTGTGTGTGTGTGTGTGTGTGTGTGTGTGTGTGTGTGTGTGTGTGTGTGTGTGTGTGTGTGTGTGTGTGTGCGTTGCTTGCATGTACGTGTACATGTGTATGTGTATGTGTGTATGTGTGTGTCTATGTATGTATAATTATATGTATGTATGTATGTATGTATGTATGTATGTATGTATGTATGTATGTATGTATGTGTGTATATATATATATATATATATATATATATATATATATATATATATATATATATATATATATTATATATATATATATATATATATATAATATATATATATATATATATATATATATATATATATAATATTATTATATATATATATATATATATATATTATATATATAATATATATATATATATATTATATATATATATATATATATATATATATATATATATATATATATATATATATATATATATATATATATATATATATATATTATATATATATATATATATATATATATATAATATATATATATATATATATAATATATATATATGTATATATATATATAAGTAAATACAAATATGTATATGTATATATATATATATATATATATATATATTATATATATATATATATATATATATATATATATATATATATATATATATATATATGTATATATGTATATGTATATGTATAAGTATATATATATATATTATATATATATATATATATATATATATATATATATATATATATATATATATATAGTAAATTACTTATTTTTTCTTTTCTTTACTGTTTTTGATATAACACACAAAGAAAGGGCAATACGAGGGTTAAGTGAAAGCCCACATTACAGCAGAGACAAAGAGGGGCTTTGACCAAGTGGGTTGTGAGCAGTAGCAAGCAAGGGGTCGGTTGTGTACAGATGGCATGCCAAGCGAATTTCTCCCTTGTGCACACCTAGCATAAAGAAGTTTTGCACTGTGTATTATACAATACCTCTAGGCATTGGGTAGCTAGCTTTGGCTGTTTTTTTACAGTTTCCTATGAAAGGCAGAAAAGGAAAGAAAATAAATATTACCTTTCAGCCCAAAATGGATGTGGATAATAAGCTGAAAAGATTAGGTTGACAAATCTGCTAAAACAACAGATATAATGGTAAAAAGAAACACCTCATTGGTATACAAAATGTGTGTTTCTGTTCTGTTGAAACCTTGAAATGTATAGGCCTCCATCTCAATATAGGGCTCTAATATTAGCTCTAATTATGTCTTTTATATCAAGACTTTTTCTCCTATGATTATGAAGTTTTTGTTAGCATAATGAGGCGCAAGCTAAGAGGTGTTAGACAGCATAAATACTTGTTTAGTATAATAAAGAATTCAACATGTCTTCTAAGGGGGTTAGAAAAATAAATAAATAAAATATATAAAAAGAATAAAATCAATTGCAAAACATCATACAGTTTTGGGCACAAACCATTCTTTAAGAGTTACTACAGTAAATCATAAATAAAGATGTAAAAATTCTTACATTAGCTGTATAATACAGACTTAATATGAAGTATATGCTCTATTTGTGCTCAAACACTTTGACTAGGAGCTAGGAGAACATAGATGCTATAGATCAAAATACATGGAAAAAATATCTACTTACACGCCCCCTTTCCACAAGGTTGGTTATCATGACAATGATGTGGACACGCTGCTCCCACACCATGCGCCAGAAGGTATCGAAGGTGGAGGGCAGTGGGCCTTGGGTGCCAATGTAGGCCCGTGGTTTGTCATAGCCATCAATGTAATTAGCATTCACATACTCCATGGCCTTCTTCTGTCCAGGGAGAGGGCGTAAGGGAACCCTTGTGTGGTCATCTGGAAGAAAAAACATTTGATATTTGAATTTAATTCATTTCAACAACCCTTCATACACTTGTAATTTTCAGTCCAAAAGAGAGAAACTAGAAAAGAAACACAAAAAAGACAAAACAAATAATAGAAAAAAAAGGGGGGAAATGAAACTCACATGCTACAATGTTGAGATATCGATTCTTTTGCTTGTTGTCCGGGTGCTGCGAGTGCTCCGCTGGATGGTGCTCCTGGGCTGAGGCTGCCTGGATAGCTTCATATTCCTTTGAGAACGCAATGTCCCCATCAGCATGCAGCTCCGCAATGTGCTGTGACAGATAAGAATCATTATAGACACATCATTACAAAATAGTGAGTGAGTTCCAAATACAATTTGGAAAATCATTTTCATAATTATCATTATACCTACAATAGACATATGTAAAATGTTCTCACCTTGGCAAAGTCATGCACATCAATTGGCCCATAGGCCCCGTCACCACCTGTGTCATTTTCCCAGTCATGCATAAGCACTGGGGGAGCCTTGGGGGGGTCATCCAGATAATAATAAGCACCTTGGAAGAAACGCCTGAAGAAAAGAAAAGCAGCATGAGTCTCATCTTTTTTAGTGTCATGGTTTTCATAATATGTATTATGAAAATTGTGTGAAGACCAGAGCTCCATTCATAAAGTTCTGTCTCACTGCAACCTGAATGGTAAAAGAAAGGTCACTGGAGTATTGTCCAGGACTGCATGAATGGCACTTTTATTTATTTTTTCTGCTACCTTTTTTAAACAATATTTATTTATTGCACAAGTGTCCCATAGATGATGGAGAAATAATGGCACAGTAACAGTAATGTTGAAACTGACACTGTCAATGACAAAAAAATGCAAAATAAAACAATCCATATCAATAATAATAACAATAACAAAAACAAAAAAAATCAATAATAACAATAAAAAAAATAAAATCATGACTTACCTCCAGATGATCATAGCAACAACCAAGAGGAAGATGGCGAAGGTGGCACAGATGATACCCGCAATAATGCCTGCACTCATCTCCAGACCCGTACGACTGACATCTGGTGGAGGGGCATTGTGGCAGTCTGGATACAGGAGGATCTTGCGAGGCTGTGAGAACGGTCCCTTGTAGGTCTTGTTGTTATCAGCGAAGAGGCGTGAATATGTGCCACCTCGGACCTTCACCTCATACATTGTGTTGTAGGTCAGGTTGGTCAGGAGGAACTGCAAGGGAAAAAGAAGGGTTTATTAAAATCTATTGTTGTTGCAACTAATACTATTACATTACTTCATGTTGTTATCAGTATGAATACCATCATATTTATTTTACAATTATCCTAAACCTTATCCAAACCAGTACCATTAACAGTGTTACTAACATTACAATTATCAAACTTATGATCATTATCAGCATTATTACCACATCAACAATTAATATCATCAACACTATCAAATAATTTCATCCTATTCTTAAAGTAAAAAGCAGAAGTATTTTTCTCACTGCGGCTACACTTGCTCTCATTCACAAACCTAACACAACACAAGTAATATAAAACACACACCCATCATTATCAAGCTCAAGGTGAACATCCACATATCTTTAGAACGTAAATGCAGACATTATGACGAGACCATTACATCTAAACCGCAGCTTATTTAAAACCATTGTAAAATACACAAGAGCATTAGGTTCACTCAACAAGTATTATTCAAGCAAATGTTACACAAGAGATGGTAAATAACATATATGTAATGTCTAATCCTTGGATCTGATGGGTTGGGTGGGGGGATGGTGAGAGAAGAGAAAAGAATGAGAGAAAGAAGCATGCAGATAAATAGATAGTGCTGGTGATGTAGATCAAATGATAAATAGACAGGGAAAGAGAAATGTATTGAGAGAACGGGAGAGGGATATATCTCAACACACAAGCTTCTTCCCATTTATAGTAGCAGAAGCACCAGTAACAAAATAACCACCAACAGGAAGTGGATAGCCTTCATTTTCTTCCTCCTATTACTCTTCATCCTCATACCTATTTTACTTCTTTTTTTTTCCTCCTATTACTCTTCATCCTCATACCTATTTTACTTCTATCTCATTCCTCTCCCAATCCATATCATATTTTTTCCATCTGCTTCTCTCTTTCTATTCGTTTATTCCTCCTCCTTCCCCTTCCCCCTTTCTCCTTCTCCTTCTCTTCTCCTTCTTCTCCTCCTACTCCTCCTCCTCCTCCTCCTCCTCCTCCTCCTCCTCCTCCTCCTCCTCTCTCCTCCTTCTCTTCCTCCTTCTCTTATTCCTCCTTCTCTTATTCCTTCTCTTATCTCTTATTCCTCCTTCTCTTATTCCTCCTTCTCTTATTCCTCCTTCTCTTATTCCTCCTCCTCCTCCTCCGCCCCGCGTTCACGACCGTAACCACACGTGTATGGTAACATAACGTCAACCTTACGACTTTAAAACGTGTCCTTGTTGCTACCTGGGCGCCGCTCCTCCCAGCCATGAGATGAGAGGGGGAAGTTGGGGAGTGAGAGAGGAGAGAGGGGGATGAGATTAAGGGGGGGGGAGGAAAGAGGAATGAGCGAAGGCTTGGTAGGAGGAGGGAAGGGGGTGAGAAGGAAGGGGGGATGGGAGGACGAAAGGAGGAAGGGTAGAGAGGGAAAAGGGCGTCTGGGGTTGAAAGGAAGGAGGAGAGAGGAAAGGGAGAGGGAGGGGGGGCACTTCCAATCATTCTACAGATAGAGTTTCTTCTCCCCCTTTATCTCCATTCCCCCTACCCCCCTCTTTCCTACAATCTTTTCAACTGAGGGTAAGAGGGGAAGGGAAGAGTACAAGACAGAATTATTCCCGTTTCCCCCATTTCAATCGATTCCATACGAGAGGTGGCAATAACAACAACAATAATAGTAATAATAACAATAGCCGCCAGGATAACAACATAAAGTACATGCAGTGAATGTAATTTTTCCGTCGCACATACGCACAAAAGGCATTCCCAGCGCATTAACCAAAATAACAAAACCCCTTTAACCTAACCAGAGGAAAAAAAATTCGACCTCACCGACAAGGCTCCCGATCAAGACTAATGGGCGGTGCGGGAGAACTGAAAACCCATAACTACGCGAGAGAGAAGAGAAAAAGAAAAACAACAATAATAACACGACGGGAACACGCAAAAAAAAAGACAAAGGGCGCATTGCTAGACAAAAGGCGTAGTCTCGACGGCACCTTCCCCGGTCCCGCACTCTACGCACCGTCTCCGCCTCTTTGACACACCCTCCCTCACCCCCTTCACTTTGGGCGCCCCCGGCCTCTCTACCTTCCTGTATCTCTTCCTTTCGTAACTCTCTATGTTGGTCTCTCGTTTTTTTTTTCTTTCTCATTCATTCACTTCTCATCTTTTCTCTCTATTGTCTGTGTCGTGTTCTCTTCCATTCCCTTTCTCTTCCTCTAATCATCCATCCATCCCGCACCGTTCAATATCCTTTCCCTACCTTCTTAATCAGCATAATAGCAATTCTCACTTCATAACGTCCTCCCTTCCCCTCCCTTCCTCTCTTCCAATCCCCTCCCCTCCCTCGCCTCTCCATTCTCCTCTCATCTCTCCCCTCCTCTCTCTCGCTCGTCTTTTTTTTTTGTATGTCTCTCCCTCCTTATCGCCTGCCTCTCCCTCTTACTCTGCTCTCTCTCCCTCTCCCTCTGCACTCCCTCCCTCTCCTTCTCCCACTCACTCTGCACTCCCTCCCTCTCCCTCTCCCTCTGCACTCCTCCTCTCCTTCTCCCTCTCACTCTGCACTCCCTCCCTCTCCTCTACACTCCCTCCTTTCCCTCTGCACTCCCTCCCTCTCCCGCTACACTCCCTCCCTCTCCCTTTCACTCTGCACTCCCTCCCTCTCCCTCTACACTCCCTCCCTCTCCCTCTCCCTCTACACTCCCTCCCTCTACCTCTCCCTCTACACTCCCTCCCTCTCTCTCTACACTACCCATCCCCACTCCCTACCCGAGTACCCGCGCGCGCTCCGTCCGGCCTTTTAAAAATGGCCGTTTTCCCAGACGCACACAACACGACACCCCCTGCAGGCGCCTCGGTACTTACTCCGTCGCACCAATTAGAAAGTGAATCAGAACTGGACCCTTATCGCGCTTCTGATGCTGTTGCTGTCTGGGGATAAGGCGGAGGGAGGAGGATGGGAACTGGAAGGAAAATAGGAGGAGGGAGGAGGAGGAGGAGAGGAGGAGGAGGGAGGAGGAGGAGGAGGAGGAGGGAGGAGGATGAAGGTGTGGAGAAAGAGGAAAAGGGGGTGAAAGGGGAGGGGAGTGGGGAAGAAGAGGAGGAATAGGAGATGGATGATGATGATGATGAAGATTCCAATAGCAACACTATGGGAAGGATGACAACAAGAAAATCCTTTACTGTTTTCCTTTTTTTCATCATGTACAATCAACAGAAGAAAGCTGACCGGGCGGGAGCGAGACCTAACCTCCCCCCCCCCCCAAAAAAAAAGAAAGAAAAAAAAACACGCCACGACAACACCTCACTGCCTGCCTCGCTGACTGACGAAGGGCAGTTAAGGGCGGCCCAGTCACCAAGTACTCTTCGCTCATTCCTTGCCCTTTCCCCCTTCCTTCCTGCTCACTCTTACCCCTTTCCTCCCCTTCGACCTGCGAGTGGGCGAGAGGCGCTGGAGACCCCGGCTGAGAATCCTCATCTCGCGAGAGACGAGAGAGGGACCTGGTCACCCCCGGGGTGGGGTGGGCCCTTGGGAGTTTTTTTCGGGATGGATGAAGGGAGGGAGGGAGGGAACGAAAGGGGGGGGGACGGGTTCCTCGGGAGGGAAGGAGGTCCTTCGAGGGGAGGGAGGAGGATTCAGCGGTGAGAGGATGAAAGGGAAGAGGGAGGGAAGGAGGAAGACTGGAAGGTGATGGAAAAGATATGGAAAGGAGAGAGCAAAAAGGAGAAAGACGAAAAATGAAAAACAAACAGAAAAGGAAAAAATAGACAAGAAAAGGAAGGGGGAAAGAAGGTGAAGAAATGCGGCGAGAAACAAGCGACGACGGAAAAGAGGGGAGGGGAAGAGGGGAATGAAAGAGGGAGCATGTTGTCACAGGTGGCAATATCGAGGGGGGTCAGGGGGAGGAAGGAGGGTATTAACGACGAATGTGGGGACGAAAGGAGGGGAAAGGACAAGAAACGAGGGAGTGAGACAAGGGCGAGAAATGAACGAAGTGTACTTAGAAACATGTGGCGCAAAATAACAAGCAAGGGAAGTGGTCTAGTTAGGTCTGTCTTGAGCAAAGTTTTTAATAACAAAAGCGAGGGAAGGAGAAGGGGAGGGGGGATAGGAGAGTGAAGAGGAGGAGGACGAAGAGGAGAGGAGGAGGTGGTGGTGGAGGAAGAAGAGAAAGAGGAAGAAGTGAGAGAGGATGAAGAGGAAGACGAAGAGGGAGTATGAAAAAAATCAAACGATACAACTGATACAAAGGCTTGTAAGAATAATCATGAACATACACACACACACAAAAACTAAAGATCGAGACATAATGTAGAAAAAAGAGAAAAAAGAAGGCAGAACAGGTGGGACGAGAACTGGCGAGGGCGGGCAGCTGGAAGGGAGGAGGCAGAGGAAAAGAGAGAGAAGATGAGTAGAAGGAAGAGAGGGAGAAAGTCATGGAGCAAGAGACGGAAGGCAAGGGAGAAGAGATGGAGGAGGGAGGAAGAAAGAATGAGGGAGGAAGAGAGAGGGATTAAGGAAGGTCGTGTGCGGTAGGGATGCCTTAAAACAGGGAAGAGGAGGAGGTGGAGGAGAAGGAGGTGGTGGAAGAGGTGGAAGCGATGAGGAGGAGAGGAGGAGGGAGGAGGAGGAGGAAGATGAGGGATGGGGGAGCGTCAAAGGCCGGATGCTGTGGAAACTGGTTTACGCAGCGAACACACCCTCAAAACACGATTTTTAAACAAAATAAAAAAAACAATAATATATACTGGCTTCACAAGAACACGAGTCCGCCACTAGAACTTGAATTAGGCGCATAAATAAACAAATAAATAATGTGTACACCTGCACCGAAAGACACAGATATACTTAAAAATAAGACAACGATATTAAGGCAAACAAAACAAGAATAAAGATCAGAAAATGCACTGTGGGAGGGCGAGGCGAGACTAAGGGTGGGGTGGGGGGGGGGGGGTCGAACGCGGTCAATGAAACCTTGTTTCCTCCTTCCCCCTTAT